TTAACCTTTTCTCACCACAGGTGAGGTTGCTCTGTGGTCTCTGGTGGTCCTGGCTGTCGAGAGGTACATTGTCGTCTGCAAACCTATGGGAAGCTTCAAGTTCACTGGAGCCCACGCAGCAGCCGGAGTCGTTTTCACCTGGATCATGGCCTTTTCATGTGCAGGACCCCCCCTGTTTGGCTGGTCCAGGTGAGTTTTTATCTGTGTCTGTCCCTTTAAATAAGACATTTAATGTTATATCCACGAGAAGCTACAATTGAATTCCTCTCTTCTCACACAGATACATGCCCGAAGGCATGCAGTGCTCCTGTGGACCTGACTACTACACTCTGGCTCCAGGCTTCAACAACGAATCATACGTCATCTACATGTTTGTCGTCCACTTCTTCGTCCCTGTCTTTGTCATCTTCTTTACTTATGGAAGTCTGGTGCTGACAGTCAAAGCTGTGAGTTATCTTTCAAGTCATCAGTGCCTCAGATTTCATGTTTTAAATATTTTGGTGAAGAAATGTCTTTCAATCCTCCTCCTCCTCCTCAGGCTGCAGCCCAGCAGCAGGACTAAGAGTCCACCCAGAAGGCCGAGAGGGAAGTGACACGCATGTGCATCCTGATGGTGTTCGGCTTCCTGATCGCTTGGACACCATATGCCACCTTCACTGGCTGGATCTTCATGAACAAAGGTGCTTCCTTCACTGCCCTGACTGCATCCATCCCGGCCTTCTTTGCCAAGAGCTCAGCCTTGTACAACCCAGTGATCTACGTGCTGATGAACAAACAGGTCGGTTAAACTAAAGGCACTCACACTGATGTAAGTTTGACACAGAGACTTAGTAATTGTTGTGTTCAATTCTGTTTTTTTTCTCTCTTCTCTTCTTCAGTTCCGTAACTGCATGTTGAGTGCGATCGGAATGGGCGGCATGGTGCAGGATGAGACCTCAGTCTCTGCCAGCAAAACAGAAGTGTCCTCTGTTTCTACAGCATAAGACATTTTCAATATCATGGACATTTTTCTTCCTGCAGTTGTTTCCATCAGGAGTTATCCCCAAGATGGACTGACTGGGTTTCAGGGATGGATAAATTACATGACAAACGACTACAGGGACCAAACTCACAGGCTGCATTTTTTCATCCTTTATTTGAAGGATGTTGAATGTTGATGTGAATGATCTCATAATCAACTGGAATACCCCATGATGGCACACAGAAATATGTCTTATCACGATATCACCCAATATTCAAAAATATACTTTATATTCTGTATGTGTTGACTTTAACATTATGAATGGCAAAAATTGTAAATATAAAAAAATGTGTAGATAAATAAATGCATTTATGAAAAGACCGTCAATGACTGGATTACTTTCTTTGGGCCTTGAAAAGTGAAAATCCTTCTGTCTTTAGAAAACATTAAGGTCCACAACATGGTGTCGTGGTCATAAGAGAGGAAAACATTAAGGTCCACAACATGGTGTTTGCAAGCGGGGGGAACATAGTAACTGCAGAAGAAAATGAAGAGAAAGGAAACAAAGGTTTTTGCAGGGGGTAAAAAATATAGTAACTGCTTAAAAACAAGACAAAATACTTAAATGCCTTTTCTGTTTAGATGTTTGCAGTGGTCACTGACCAGAGATTTACTAGTAAAGTCTTCTTTGGCTAACTTAAGTGGAGCACATCCGGTGTTTATGTAACATATCACTGCAAGGCCTCATGTTTTCACAAACCGTAACAAGTACTTAACCAAAATTCAACCGGATAAGACAAACACTCAACACAAAAAGTGACGACAACAACTTCACAAATGAAACTCCAACTTATTTAGGCTACTTAACTTGTGTGATTCAAGATATGTACACACACGGAAATGTAAACCCACGATAGGCTGACATGTACATTGCAACGATAGCCACCCTTATAATCGATAATCAACACAAACAGCGCGGAGAACAAAAAGAGCCTTCTTCCTACCGTCACGTTAGCCTATCTGTCCACAACGGTCCGTGTAGCGTCCATGTTTGGGATCCTAGTCGCCAGATAGTTTGAAAAACTCCAACAAACTTTCTGGCCTTGTGGCCATTTTCTTCCTCATGAGTGAACGTTAAAGGTAACTTCAAATCCAGCGCGTCACCGGAAGTGCGTCCCCTCACCTAGCTCCGTCTTTCCCCTCTTCCGAGAGGATTCTGCCCAAATTAGGGCCTACTTGAAACTCCTTGAAAGTTGGTATTTAAAAATAAAATAAACGAATGTCGGATCAATATGATATTTTTTGTAAAGCCTTTAATTATAATAAATTGTAAATTATATAAAGTACATATAGTCATTATTATGAAGAATCGCGTCGATGTTATACCTTCTTTCTTACATGGCAGTCACGGGGCCACCCCAGCCACAGAGTAGAAACCTCCAATGAAGGCCCATATCGAGTTAATATATTAAAATAACGGCTGTAGGGATTAACACGTTATTTCTGTTAATTAATTGGTGAAAAATAATTAGATTACAATTTCTATTTTAAGGCAGAATTACTATACTGTACTCATCACAAAAAAGCACAGTATTGACAAGTCGAGCTGAATTTGGTTATAATGAAGTTATAATTTTGCATATTTTTCTTGACATTTTTCTGCACTATTACCATGTAGATTAGTCACACATAAATACACACATGAAACATATTCATCTACCTGCTGTTATGTTTTTTCCAGCAATACACATTAAGAAAATAGGTTTGTCCTTTCTGTGAAAGAAAGCTTTTACAGTTATAACACAAATGACATCTGCTTTAATAGAGAATAAAAAGGAGGAAAAAAAGGGAGGGGGGCACCCAGATATATTTGTATAACACTACAGTGTATTAAGTATATACATTTTGCACCTGCACATACATGTATCAACCGGTGCTGAGCACAGTTCTAACCTGGGACTGGGGTCCTCATTTTTCACCAACCAATGAGAGCATTCGGGGTGGGGCTAAGTCTACTGTCACGTTCACAGGAACCAAAGAATCTCTCTGCTGCTTGAGTTGAAATATTTGTGTTCTACCTTGAACATTTAATATATAATACAGCACTATATAATTCTGTGCTTCTTATTCAAGTCAGGACTATAAATTCCAGATAAAAAAACTGTATCGCTGAGCAGCTCCTTTTACTTCTTCTTCAAAGACTGAAGCTGCTGGTTGTCATTTTGCAGAAGTGTCAACCAACATACATTCTCTTCTGATTATAGCTTCAAAGCAGCTTACTGACTCTCGACGGTGGCGACGATGTCGAGATGGCAAAGCTTCTTAAATACTTCCTGCTAAATGGGAAGAGGGTGAAAAAAAAAAACCCCTGAGAGAATTAGGTCAACAGTCAAACAAAATGAAATCAATATTAGATGAGATGAAACTGTATTAGACTCAGGATCTTTGATTATTCTTATCTTTTCCTCAAGATCTTTATCATTGTTATAAATGAGGTACAGGGAAGTTGTATTCAGTTCCATTCAGTGCAACATTTAAAAATATTCTTTTTGAAAACTAAAAAAACAATTTGTTACGGTAAAGGTATTAGCATAATTGTGTAACGTCAGTAAGAATCACTATCAGGTTTTTCCTCCGATAATGAAAAACCGACAAAACAATGCCTGGGTTTTGCACAGAGGATGTGACGGTCAGTATCGCTTGTTATCGGAATCGTAAATCAAGTGTTTGGACAATATCGCCAATATCAGCAAATGTTAATATTGGACATCTCTATTCCTTACTTTTCTGTCCCGTGACCTTTCTGTCAGTCAGAATTTATCATTGACAAGGTCATATACTGTAAGTTATGACAGATTTCTCTCCATGTAAATTTAACACGTTTGATGCTCAGTAATAGAAATAAAATGATTTTTAAATTTTTAAATAAATATTTTAGAGACACCTCATTAGAATGAATGAATGTTAACAAATGTATAAGTGAATAAATATGAACAATCTGTTTGTAAAGTAATAGAATTCCATATCTTATGACAATAAAGTTGACTTTGTCTTTGACTGGATGTGCCTAAGGTGCAGACATTAACTGGTGTTGGTTCAGTGAAGACAAGGTGGACCACGTGTTAATGAGCACTGACAGAGTCACCTGTGCTAACACCAATGAAACTCCAACAGAAAGCCATCTGTCACACAGCTTTCATTTTAATGCCAGTTCCACCAGAAGGATTTCCACTCCAAAGAGCTTGTGTTTATCTGCTTAGCATCCAAAAATTGCCACTAGATCAAGCTGTTACTACTGAAGTCCAGCGCCCTTTAATCTTCAATCCCCACAAATTGGATTTACACCTCGTACGTAAATGAGAGGGATGGATTATGTTGTCTGGATGTGAGGTGGCACGTTAGAGGCGTTCACTATCTCCCCCGAAAAATGTTCTTGACGTAAAAGATTAGAACGTTCACGTGCAACCACACACACACACACACACACACACATACTGTACTGTAATGTACACTGGAGCCTGAAATTCTCAGAGCAAGAATTCAAATTTTCCCCCAATCATTTCAACATTTGTTTTTTAAAAACTCGATGCCGTTCAAACTGCAAAATTCCAGCGAAAAATTCCAACAATATCTCTTCTATCAATTCTTTATAGATAGAAGTCTATCTAAAATATAACATTCTACACTTGTTGAGTTCCACCTGACCTGTAGTCAGAAACCAAGGGGTAATCTGTAGTTTCATGGTAATTAAGTGTCTAAAAGTGGTGAGAGGATTGTGTTACCACCACCACCTCACACACACACACACACCTGCAGAAATCATTCATTGATGAGTCATACTATCGTATATGTATACATGACCAGACATGAGGAAACTATTTTTAGTACAAACAACATCTTGTTGGACAAATTAAGGATAATTAAGAAAAGATGATTAAACTCTGATGATCGTTGATGCTTGTTGCCAAAATAATTATCACAAAGGTTATGGCAGTTGGAGATGGTTCATATCAAATCACACCATGTCAGTCTAACAGTGTAAAACCACACAGTTACAAACTGTATGTTCCTTATTATTTTTTTGTTTCATGTGCGAAAGTAAACTAGTCATTCAGTAGTGATAGATAGATAGATAGATAGATAGATAGATAGATAGATAGATAGATAGATAGATAGATAGATAGATAGATAGATAGATAGATAGATAGATAGATAGATAGATAGATAGATAGATCGATAGATAGATAGATAGATAGATAGATAGATAGATAGAATTGGTCCTTGGATACGCAGGAAGACTTGAGTCTTAAATGAGAGTGATACGGTTATGGTGTGCCTGACACAGCTCTCACAAAGCCTGTGACAGTACAGTCTGCCGCCTTGTGTCCAAAGTTGCGTGTAAATAGCAGGTTAATTGGAATTAGCCTTCTTTCTAACAGCTACCGAACTCTTAACACACTTCTGCGCAGGTTAAGTCTATTGAAACCACTCCACAGGATGTGTCAGTAATCTGCTAATGGGTCACCAACAGTTACTCAATAGCATCCTGTATCACACCAACCAATGGGTGAAAAAATGTCTGTCTTTCAATAAACTCATCAGTAGAGGAACTGCGGGAACTGTGGGCGCGGTTGAACCCACACCTCGGGGAAAAACGCAACAATAAAGGCGGCATGTTTAATCATGTTCAAATGACCTGAACTCACGTACAACACACGAGTGTAAAGCCTGTAATTATTTTTTTTATAGTTGTATTATTAATTAAAACGTCAGTTGTTTTGTTTTTGTTTGTTTTTTTCATTGGAAGGCGCAGCAGCGCTTCTACCTGCGCAAAAGCAGCGCAGTCGCTGCTCTCTTGCAGCAGTTGCGTCTTAAATCTGCGGTTATTTAAGAAGAACACCTTAAAAATACATACGATACCTTACGAAAAAAATGAACCATGAGTTTATCTGTCAAACCGTCGACATATTCAACCGTTGACAAGTTAAATCTGAACATTTAGTTCTTTATTTTCTTTTCGAACTCGATGAATACTTTCGCAACAATTGACTTTATTGTGCAAAATCCACCTTTTTTGTTTTTTTTAAATTACATTTAAATATCTATCCATGCAATGTATAATACAACAAAAACATTCCTTTATGCTCTAACACCCCCGCACTTTGAAAGACGGGGTGGGGACTGAGCAACACAGTCTTTCATTCAAGCAGTATAATTAGAGTGTAAGCTGAAGACCAACGCTTCATGTTGCCCAGCACTAATGTATTGAGTTGCAGCCTGTGTTGACAGTCCAGTGTAAACAATAAGACAAAAGCACTTTTACCACAATTACGAAAAAAAAATGTATTTGGCAGAGATAATTCCATGTTTTTATGCTAGAG